GCAGGAGGGGAAGGCCCTCTATGAGGTGGATTGATTCAGTGACTGGGATAATTGGGATGGCAGTGTCAGAGACAGTGCGATTGGCACAGGACAGAGTGGAGTTTAGGGCTTTGTACATAGGGTCGCTGTGAGTCGCAAGCGACTCGACAGCACATAACAACAACAAACAACTGCTTTTTTAAAGAATCTGAATCAGAACGCTGATAAGTGTAATTAGTGTTTCAAAACAATCCTTCATATGCAGTTGTACCGCAGTGAGGTTCCTTTGGTTTTTGCCTTAACTTGACCCTGTTTTTCCTAGATCCTCTGCCTCTGAATAGTATAAGGCAGTAAATCACTTCTTTTTGTTTCTCCTTTGGTCATTTTCCTGATACCTTCTATTCACTCTAAAAGTCTAAAGGATTGAATCTGCTACTTAAAAATAAAGGTGGTAGAATTTAAATGCTTTCATTATTGCTTGAATTACTTTTTTAACTCAGGACTTAAACGTCTCTCCTACTACGTAAAAATAATAAAAATTGCCAAATTAAATACAGCTTTTCTCTTATATTGACTAGGTTTGCCCAGAATTTAGTCATAGATCTGACTCCTAAAATGAATTTAAGTAACCTCTTTGTCTTCCCCAAACCAGTTGAATTTACCTTCGTCCTGATTCTGGTTAAGAAATTCTCTCAAAGTATTTTCTAACAAACCGGCATCTGTTCCAGGTTCTTCCTTTGACAAAATCTCACTGAATGGCCTGTCGCCTGTTCCATCAGTCTCAGCGTTACTAGTCTGCTGGTTGTCAAATGTAACTGTTGATGAAGCTGAATAAGTATTTCCTAAATGGTCCACTATGGGAAGTAAATATAATTCTGGTTGAAGAGCCTATTATATAAAGAAAATTTAAAAACAAGTTTATAATTTTTTAAATTGTAAGTGAAAATAATTAGCTTAAGTTTAAATTGTCACATTACATACATAAGGAGGAGCAAATGATTTAAGTTGCAGTTCAGATTCTTGCTTTGTCTTCACCTAAAAATCAATGAGAAAATATTTTTAATAGCTTCATTTTCATTATTTTTGCAGAATAATTTACCTCAGTTACATATAGAGGGTCAAGGACTACAGTCTTCAATACG